TTCCTTAAATTGATTGTACAAAATCATCCATATTTTTTTGTTACCCTTGTATTTAAAATATTTATAGGAAACAGAAATATTATCATAATTCGAGAGTTGAAGCTAATATTTCGAAAATAATTCTTCATTGTAAATGATAGATTGATTTGAGATATATTGAAAGTGGACGCCTGGTAAACATGCACATTTTTATTCCGTGTCTCTAGTGAGAAGCACAATCAAAGGCAAGAGACTACTATGACATAAGGGAAGTATTTGAAAATTTACAAGTTCATGAGGATTTTATAATGATAGGGATATCTCATAGCCATAAGTCTTTCAAACATGATAATGCGCAGACATCAAATGATAGCATCGAAAAGCTCGCTGTTAATTGCCACTAAAACGCACTCTGAAGATTGCCAGCTATTTAGACCTAATACTTAATGGGGGTAGAAAAAAATATATGATCGTACGAATTTTCGAGCAAGCAAAACCCACAGGCTACTATTCTGAACGAGAGTAAATATTTCATTACAAATATATTAAATATGATGAATATTATTATTTAACTATGGGGCCCTTGTTAGAGAAAACAATGAATATATTTAGTAAGATTGTTCGATTAAATTTACGCTTAAAATCATTTTGCGCCTTAAATGTTTTGAGATAAAATTAAGCAATTTAAGATTCAAATTGGACAAACCCGCATTCAATAGAAAAAAAAAATTCAATTTATATTATAATTTTAAATATTAAAAATATAGCAATTATTATCTTAATTATTTGGAGCCTTTTTTTTATTAAAAAAATTCTAAGACAGCTTACTACACTAATCAAGCACGAGAAAAATATCCGTAAAATAATCTGATAGATTATAAAGAGGATTTAAATCATATTATCTTCATTTTAAGGATCTAATTAATCCTCCCCCATCAGGATTAATTTTAAATTCAATATAATTAGCACTTAGTGATCATTTACCATTTTTTATAGGTTTTAAAATTTATAAATGTATAGCGTATATTTTTATTTTTATTTTTTTAAAAAAGGAAAAAAATATATTCGTATGATCCATTTATCGTAAAATAAAATTAAAATCTTTTTTTTTAAAAAACAAAAAAAAATTATGCCAACACCGCTACCACAATGCCCCTATAATTTACATATTTGGGATTTCAAGACAATATTGAACGTGGTAGTTATACCCATGCTTCTCGTCTCGGGTATATTGGGCAATTCCTTGGTATTTTATTTGCTGATACGAATCAGGCGTTATACTTTGAATTTTTACAATTTAAAATTCATCGCTTTTCTCAATGCCGTCACGTGTTGGGTAGGCCTGATCAGGAACTCCTACAGTTTCCTGCTTGTCCACTCCAGGCAACAAGGTATGAAGTTCAAATGGCTGGCGATATTCAGAGCTCATTATGCGTTTATCATCATCACTGGATTGAGCAAGGCTTCCATCTGGTGCCTTTGCGTTATTTTGTTCGAAAGATTTGTCGCCGTGATGTATCCTCATCAATATAAAAGTTTCACGAACATCAGGGTATTCAAATACTTACCATACATAATAATAATAGCGTGCATATCATTGTGCTATTCCAGTTACTATTGGTACGAGTTAAGTGAGTGTTTCGTCTACAAGATGGCTCCTATGTTCAATTTCTCTTTATCAGAACAATTTGCCACGAATAGTGTGGTGCTATTTTCGTCCAATAAATCAATTTTACCTATCCTTTCACATTATAATGACAATGAGGTTTTTTATAGATATATCGAATACAGGACTAAGGCAGGTAGATGGACGGTTTCATACAATTATTTTAGGGAAATATTATTGTCGATTATTCCTGGCTTATTAATACTCTATTTCGGGTGCAGTATAACTCATGCATTGTTTAAATTATACTCGAGGAAACGCAGGATAAACCCTAACGAGATATTTAATATATTAGCACTTAAGCTCAAAGAATCAACAGCTGATTTAAGACATTGCTTCCTGAGGAATATTTCACCCTTACTGTATTTTCTGCTCTATTTCATTTGTTATTTGCCCAATTTCTTGGTCATGGTGTTTCAAGAACAAATAGAGGAAATACAATCAAAACCCAATCCATCATGGTTTTTCGTCAATTGTATCGATATAGCTAACATATTGGTAATAATGTTTTTTTCGACGAATATATACATATACATTGGTTTTGATCGCAACATCAAACAATCATTAAAAAGCTGTTACATCTTTCGAAAAATTTTTTTTAGGCATAAAATTTCGACGCATCAAGTTTCTATAACTGGATTAGATGAGTAAATAATCAATCATTCGTAATTTTTGTTGCTAACATAATCGATATCCATATAAAATTATTTATACAAAATATAAAAAAATTGTGACAGATAGGATTAACATTTATAAAACAAGCATAGCAATATATGACTCCAACTCAACATTTTTTAATTTTATATTCGACGATAATAATAATAATTATATTTATATAATTATATTGGATCATCTAATAAAGAGATAGTAAAATCATTAATACGGAACTAAATAATGAAACGTGATGATGAAAACTTAAAGAAATTATTAGAGATTATTGAGAAAAGTTAAAATAATGATTGATAGTAATTGAATTTATTTAGCGAGCTTAATCAAACATATTTACTTTTATTTTATGTTAGGCTCTGATGGTTGGCCTTCCATCAGAGGAATGTAAGTCACAATCTAGCTAATTTAGATAACAGGCTATTTTTTGTAAATAATTGATAAGATTAAACAAAATTGGGTAGCAAAATTAAAGATTATCCAAAATGAAAAATAGAGATTGATAAAGTTAGCATTCATAGCAGATAAAATATAAAAATATAGTTATTTAAAGGTTATAATTTATGAATTTTTTATTTAACAGAGAAGTTATTGGTAAACTTAGAAACCTACTGAATCTAACAGAATCTAATTGAAACTATAAAATGTTCAAGATTTTAGATATTATAAGTTATTATATAATTGATCACTATAGATAACTGTGATAAAAAAAGGAACATAAATTGTAGAGATTAAATAATTTTAAGATTTGTTAAAAGATATAATTGAAAATATTCGCAGATTGAGAATAAAGACTGATATACTATAATTTAAAATATTCGGAGAATAAGATTAGAAACTAATAGGAATATAAAATTATTGCTAGAAAATATGTTCATGTCGTGTTAAATAAATTCGTATTAAAGTTTAACTTTTATTTTAAGGGCTGCGAAACATAAAACAGGCTTAATGATCTAATATGTGAATAAGGTACGCCTAAGTTGATAATATTTAGTAAAATATTAGGTTGTTGATTGACCAAGATACCAAGATCTAAGAAACAGTTTTCATCATTTGAAAAATTATTCCACAATCGAACTCAATTAGAGATCGGAATTTTATTTTAGATCATTAATAAGATTCGAGATCAATTATGCAACATTATTTTAATAATAGCTGAAAGTAAAACATGCGTTATTTTCAACAACGTGTGGGCAAAAATTGTAATGATCAGATTTCATTCGTTGGTCAACAACGTATGCTTGAAAACCATGATTTAATTTCATTGGTTGTTCAAAAAGGTGTGTGCGAAAACTATTATGATAGGATTTCATTGGTATTTCAAGAATGTGTGTATGAAAACTATGATTGTAAAAAGTTGATTTTAAAAACGAGTGTTCAAAATATTATAATGACCTTTTTACAATAATGATAATATCATCGCTGCTATTATTCATCCTGCATTTAAATTGATGGTAATGGATAAGCAGAGATCAAAATAGATATTAAAAATATGAATTTATTTTACAATAAAACAAGTTCCTAAAACAAAGAAAAAAATAGCCTAATAATGTAGAAGAATTGCTTTGAATTGAATTCATCAGCAGGGTTGGCAAGTGGGTCAATTGGTGAATAACTATGTTGTATGATTCAACTTACATCATGAAAGTGGTGTTTTCAATTACTTTTTGACAAATGTTTCACTTAAGGCGAAAAGAATATATACTTAGATTGTAATAATATATTAAAGGTTGTTAATTGTATAACGTGATTGGAAACAATTGATTTACGAGATATATAAATAATGTTTTTGATATAATACAGATAAAATTTATTAATTTTATTTCATTCTTGATAAATACGTCAAATAAAGACAAATTACCACTAATTCCAATCAATCTCTGACTTAACAGGCGAATTGAACTTTTCCCCTTGTTCAATAAACTATATTTATTTAATGGAGTAATATGTATTTAAAGCATATTTATCAATCTAATTTGTTTACAAATTATTTTAAAGTATATTTATAATTTTATATAAAAATATAAAATTTTCTTATTAAAATATTAGAATTTCAATTTGAAATATATAAAAAAAAGAATTTTTCTCCTTATTAATTTGATTGGATCTAAATATATAAATAAATATATAAATTTTACTTAAGCATGGTTTGAGAAAATTACTAATTGCCAATTTATATTACATTATGTTCCAAACAAGATGGGTATCATAAATAAAATGTAATGAGCAAATATAAAAATTAAAATCAAAGAAGCAGTTAAGACTATACGCTTCTTTAAAAAAAATTTTTTATCAGGAGTGGAAGTGCGCTCCTTTTGAAATGGTAGAAGAGGGAGGATTTTAAAAATCTTGTTTATGAGATCAATTTTCCTATGTTACTATTAATTTTATTTTTAATTTTTATTAATGATAATAATCTAAGGATTATTGATTTTAATTTTTTAAAAATCCATCTGCTGTTAAAATGTGAAAGATCGGACCCCATTATAAATCCACCTTACTCGAAAATAATTTTTTAAAAAAAGGATTAATATGAAAATAAATTATAAATTAGATAACACCTGATCCCGAACAAAAGTTACTATACTTCCAGGCTGTTAACAAAGTCAAAAAAGAACTTTGAATGAGAGTTATATTATTCAAAATGTGATATTTTAGTTATTATGATTTTACTATATTTATACTTTATCTATTGTCGTAAACACTGACCAGAAATTATAAATCCAAAATCAGCAAAGACAAATTAATATCATTATAATTATTATAATAAATAACATTTTATTTTCATTATGATCTATTTGTTGATTGTTCATAAATGTAATATTTTCCTCGGATTTTACATGCCTTTTTGTTCCCATCTAAATATTATTATTTTTGTTTCGATAAAAGGATATGAAAATATTAATAATTCCCTTTTAACCCCATACTTCTCATATTAAATATTATTATTTTTTATATATTTTAAAAAAATCCTAAAACATTAGGTTAATAATTATTTTAATTTTAGTAATATTTGTTCAAATACGCTTAGCTGGTAGAAAAAAAAATAATAATTGTATATTATGATAAAGAATTAATAAAATAAATAATTAAAACAAAAATTAATAAAATAAATTTTTTTTCTTTACATTTGCTTATTGTATAGCAGGTACTAAATATATTTTATTTTCAAAAATGTAAGATATTTTGTATATATATTATAAAAATTAGAGTGTAGGGGAAAAAAAAATACAAAAAGAATGGCTAAAGATAATGAACTAGAAAAGTGGATAAATAGATATACTAAAAAATTGGGGAGAAGGATCATCCTAGGGGTGTATGGATGTTGAGAAAATTGGAGCGAAATCTCCAAAGAGATCCTTTGGCGGAGGTAGAACATCTCGTTATGATCTTCAGTATTGATGGTTATTTTTTCCCTTAGCAATTTGATAAACGAAAAGTCATTGCTGGTGATTTCTAAAGTATTGGTGGCGATGGGGACATAAATTACTTTTAGCTGAATATTTATCTTAAAGATTTGATTATTGATGTGAACTATTAGACTTGGTCGATTAGTTTATACTGGTGTAGTCCCAGATTGGCTGAAGGGGGGGGGGTGCCATTGGACCATGATATTAGGGTCAATATCGTCTGGTCTTTTGAAACTATCACGTAAAGAAAACCCTGAAAATATTTGTAATAAGGTGGTTGCCTATCGTTTAACCACACAAGTAGAATAAATAATGCTGAGAGAATCAATCCGAGATTGGTAGGGGATGGTTTCAAGCCATTCGTAATCTGTCTTGGCTTTAAAGATAATTAAGTTGAAGTTAATCTAAAGTAAATCGTTTAAAGGAAAATATTATACAGAACAAGCAATAAGAGGAGTATTCCATTGTTTTTATATGTGAGCGGAATATGGGATAAAGGATTGTTTTTATCTTAGTTGTCCAAGTCAGGTGCTAAGTTTAGAAGTTGGATGGGTGTTTACAGATCATACGAAGGTTTGCATCCATAATAGAGGTCTACAAACCCCGACCCTCTTTGGTCCGTTTAAAATTATAATTTTTTAATAGATTTGCCCGGCATATTTTACAAAATATCAGGCCCGGCTCGTTAAAAATTTAGAGAAAGTCTATTTTACTCTATTATTTATAGATTCAGCATTTTAGTTAAACAGTTCTGTTAAAATACAAAGAAACAAACATGTTGTAATTCATTTTCACTAGTATTAATAAAAATCAAATATTCGCTTTGAAATTGTAAAAAATATACCAAAATTTTAAGGCTTGGCTTTATTAGTTCACTTGGAGCCACGAGATCCTCTTGGTGTGTAAAAATAATTTTTTATTATAAAAAAAATAGATTGTAGCTGAGAGGGTGAATAAATAAGAATATTTCATTTCAGTTTTTTATAATAATTTTGGTTGTTTTTCATTTACAAAATATTTTTTTTTAATATTAAATAGTTGAGATTTTAACTTTGCCATTTTAAATACAAGTATAAAATATGCTATTAGATTCATTTATTTATATTCAAAACATATACAGTCCACAAAAGGACGACACATAATCATACCATTCCATATTTACATCTTATACATGTATATCAATAACGTGTGAAAACATTTCTCTGATCACCTAATTCCTTGGATCACTTCTCCCTATTTGATAGCTAATCGTTACCACAAGTATTCCCGATACTCCCAACCCTGAACCTGAATTCATAGTTAGCGGCGAAATATATAGAATATGGATATTTTGATATTCCTCTCAGCGAATTCACGCTAGCTTTGAATTCAGGGTGAACGTAGTAAGCTAATCAGCCTAAGTTCAGTCCCATCCTTGGTTATATTTTAAATTGGTTCCATAAATCATAAATTTTCCCAAAAATCACGTAAGTAATAGAGCAATCTTAATAATAATACCCTCTTTTTTAAGTTATTTATATTAAACACTTTAAAAAAAAATTAGATAGTTATATTTGTTAACCATCATTTTAAAGAAGTAATCAGCTGATCGTTAGCACAAAGAATTCAGTTTAAAATTAAGACAGAAACAATTAAAATTATACACAACGTTGTGCTGGCGGAATCGATGGAACTATTTGTAAAAAAAATTCTGAATCTATGCTAGCCAGTTAAAATGTATAAGTTGCGAACCAAAATTAGGGTTAAGAAGCTTAAAATTATTTTGTTAGAAGAAGAAGAACTGATTTTAAAGACAATCCATCGAATTAGGGGTAATATGAACCTATGTATTTTAGCCCCCTCGGATCCGATCTATTATCAAAATTTCCGCTAAATAGAGTTTAAAATTCCAAAACCTATGCAATTTTTTAAAAATTCGTTTAGCATATCTATCTCGGTTATTAAACATTAGTGAGGTCCCGTTTATGTCTGGTATTTATCATTAAAATTGACTATATTTACAATCATTTTAAGATATTTTCGAGGTGAGACAAATTGAATATTTAGAAGATAATTTGGGTATTTATGAAATGGAGGTATCGATTAAAGTTAGACGTCTGTAATAGGCAGGTTTTTAGCTAGCCCGCTTTCCGGGCGTGCGTGAATGTTGAAAATATGTTTAACAGTGAGCAGGTGGAGGGCGGATATTAAAAATAATTTGATGGGCAGGTGAATTTTAAATATTTTCGAGAGAAATGAGCGGGAAAAACTTTTATTTAAATTAAAAAATTGTTTTTTTTAAATTATTTCATAACATAAGATATTTTATAAGTTTGATTAAATTGCATTCAAATAAATAATTATAGAGCCAAACCAGTTATTAAAATATCTTTTATATTGTACGGGTGGTCAGCAAAATTTTTAAATGAGCAGATGGGTGAATTTAAAAAACCATGGGGGTACATTTTTAACAATAAATCATTCCCAATTAGGTTTAGTTTAAATATAAATCTCAAGATTAAGAATTTATCTGCCCTTTCTAATTAATAGGCATATAGATCTTTCTTAAAAATGTACTCTCTACAGTTAGGGTCCTCAACATGATGTTTATTTATATTAAAATTAAAAGATTAAATTGAGAATTAACATTTTTTGTATTGATTATTATAAAATTGTTATCATTATTTTATATGCCTTAAGTGATTTTTATAAAATTGTTATCATTATTTTATATGCCTTAAGTATTATAAAATTAATATATATATAGATATATATAGACAATTCTGTTCAGATATTTGAAATAAAAGTATCAAAAATTAAGTATCTCCATGGCATAAGTAGAAGAAAAATCACCTTATTTATCGAAAATTTTTAAACTCAATATAGATATAAATGAATTTTAATTAATTTCAAAAAATGAAGCTATAATAAAACAAGAATTGAGCAATATAAGTGAACTAAAATTTGTGTAGTCAGTTCTTTGCTAAATATTTGGCAACACAGCACTGACTCTTATTAGATCTTTGATATACCTCATAAATGAAATATTGATTACATATTTTATTTTTTTAAATAAAATAAATTCACTAGAAAACGATAAATGTACTGAAATATCATGTAATCATATTATAACCGATATATCTCCTGGTTTCCAATCAGCTGGACTTACTTCCCTATATTTATCAGCATGTTGAATGGCTTGCAAAAGTCTCAACGTTTCTTCAACTGATCTACCAACTGGCAGATCATTTATTGATATTTGCCTCAATATACCTTGTGGATCAATTATGAACAAACCCCTAGGTTAAATAAAACTTCTAATAGAGTTCAAATTTAAATGAACATAAGCTAATGATTAGTGTTGTAGAACAGCTCAATTTTAGCAGACTTAAAAAGAGCTAACTCAATTTATCCAGAAATATATTACACAAGCCTTAAGATTTTGCTATCAGATTAAAAATCACCCAAATCGAGCTATTTAACAACACTACTAATGTATGATTATCAGAGGCCTGCTGACTAGGCTCTAAGCCCAGTCTGTATTTTAATTTTTTTAAATATAACTGGACTAGGATAAGCCTTAAATATTTTTTAAAATATAGCCAGGCCTGGCTGTATATTTTAAATTGCCATTATTAGCTATATAAATTAAAAATAATATACTATATTTTAAGAAAATATGGGCTAGATAAAAAAATTCGGGGCCAAGGATTAGCATACAATTGTAACAGTGGCATAATTTTTTTTTTGTAAAATACCAGAGCTGGCCAAAAAAAATTTAAAAAAAATACCAGGGCCAGGCCATATATTTTAAATAGCCATTAATAGCTATAAAAATATTATATTTTTAAAAAATTAGAAATGAGCCTGAAAATATAAAATCCGGGCTGGGCTGGGCCAAAAAAACAGACTGATCCATGCTAATGGTACCTCAGCAGGTCTCTGATATAAATACAAAAAAAAAATTAAAATTCATAATAGTCATCTTCTTCAGGTGATAGCCAGGAAGGCTTAAATAATTCATTGTGATCTATGAGCTCAAAGCTAATTTTTTGTTTTACCAATCTCAAAATTGTTGTCTTAGGGAACTTTTGGAGATAAATTTAATTAGGGACTTAATCTCTTTTCCAAATTAATAGTTTGTTGAAATAAATAGATATAAATATATTGTTTTTAGCTAATTGGGAATATTGTAAAAATATCATTTCTTAGTAATTCCTAATGGAACACAATTACTATTGTGGAGAGGGGCAAAAATGCTTATACATGTAAAATTCCATAAAATTTGTTTGCCCATATCCCAGGTAGCTAAAGCATACAGATCAGGCCACAAATTATGATTGAAATGTCTCAATGTTCTAGATAGAAGGGTACATTGGCTTTAATAATAAATATTGGTTGATTTTATTGATTTTTTTTGTGTTGTATATAATTGTATCTATTGGTAAGACTATGGAGTGGATGTCTAGCATCAGAATCACACAATAACACATATCTTTGACAGTTATAGTAAAAATATCTAAGCCCAGCCTAATTGCCATAGCATATCTGAATTCCTTGTTGCCAAAAGGTATTTATCAAGCAGGCTTAGATAGGCTTCTAACTATTCAAAAACTGATTATCTATTACCAATTAACAAAGGTTAGTACCAGATGCCATTCAAAAATGTGAATTAAAATTATAGGTATAAATAAGTTAAACAAAATTATAATTAAAAAAATTATATACAACATATTGCATTGATATAATTACATTTTGTGATATTAATTTATAACAATTTATCATTTCATATGATATTATTGCACCTATATGTATGTCCTAATTCTTTGGAATAAACTCCATATGATTTAGATATGTTGTGATTTAAGTCTGACATTAGTGGAATATTAATTTTTCCAAGACCACCATCCTTTCTAGGAATTTTTATACTAAATTTAATTTTTATAAAATTTTATATTAGTATCTGACCATGCATAATGAGTATAAGCTGAATCAACTGAGCATGCAATTATTTTTGTATCTAAATTTTCAAATTCCATAAATCTATCACTAAATGCAAGTATTTCAGTTGGGCATACAAAAGTGCTTGAATAGAAATCAATATTTTTTATAAAAATATCATATTATACAAGTCTAAAGGGTAAAAGAAAAGAACAAGATATTTTCCTGCATGATAAGAAGAATTAATTTGAATAAATTTATCTCCGAATATAGCAACTGTAAGAAATTTTGGCGCTGGCTTACCAACTTAATATTAAATAATTTATAAAATATTATATCTAAATTTACTAAATGTTTGCAAATGTTGATGATGTTCACGTTCAGAATTTATAGGACCTAGGTAATATAATAAAGTAAAAAAATTTAGCATTGTTTTCAGGAACATTTCAAACCCGATTTGGTTAGTACAACATTCATATAAAAACTTTACATATAAAAAATAACGGAAAAAATTTACCATTTTTTTCACGAACATTTTAAACCCGTGCCTGATTTGGTTGGTATAACATTTATATAAAAACTTTACGTATAAAAAATAATTGCGACTTTATACTAATCAACCACATTTTGTTAAATGATAAAATTTCAATATTTGATATAATTAAATAATTATGCTTATAACAAAATATATTTAATATAAATTAATTATTAATAATATACAATTTTAAATATTAAAATAAGTTGGTTAAATAATTAAGAAATTGTTGATTAGTCATTTGAATATTTATTTATTTTTAAAGTCATTTGAATATTTATTTATTTTTAAAATATATTAACGTTATATCATTTGAATTTCTTATATTATTTAAATTGATTGTTTAATATATTCAATTACCTTTGTTTTGATATTTTGAGTATAAATAGATTGTGATAGAAAAAAGAATGAAGTGAATAAAATATAAATTTATATTATTAAAACCAAATTTGTTTAATCTTATTTCATGGTGCCCCGGTTACGTACGTTTTTCGTTTTTCTTTCTCTTTAAAAAAAAAATTAAATAAAGTTAAATAATAAAAGTTTTTAAAAAAAAAATTAAAAAAATATCCTTACCTTGATTTCTTTTGTAAAAATAAAAAGAAAATTCGTCGTTCGATATTGGAGATGATAAAAGGACAAATAAAATTTTTTTGACTTTTCTTTTCGATAGTCAAGATTTTATCCAAATTTACAAAATCGTAAAAGAAAATTCGTCGTTCGATATTGGAGATGATAAAAGGACAGACAAAATTTTTTGACTTTTCTTTTTGATAGTCAAAATTTTATCCAAATTTACAAAATCGTAAAAGGTAAAAAAAAAAAAGAAAAAATATATATATATATATATAAATAAAAAGAGTAATATGATAAAAAAATAGTTTTTGATCGGAATCTTTGCATTTTACGTTACAATGTTTTGTTTTTAAGCTTATAATATACCTCAGTGCATTATTATTGATTAAATGTTGAAGGAAATGGGAGTATGTAATGAATTCTCTTATGTCCGTGATAATAGAATGAATGAAATTGTCTTTTATTTTAAGTCCTTACGAAAAATGATTGATGCCTATATGTCTCTAAATGGGAAGCCCTATGTTTTTGATGAAAATAATTTCATTTTTATATCTTGTGAAATTACGGAATATTAAAATTTAAATATCTTTACGCTTTACATATTTGACATACTATATTTATAGGGTATAGAAAATTTTCCCTATGTTACGTTATTAAATATAAATTTACGCGATGTTTAACCTATAGAATATCAATAAAACATTTTTAATTCCTTGTGACGAATTAAGTCTAGATATTTATAGATAATTCAAATTAAAATTTAGTGGACTAAATCCTCTTTAGGAATTAGAATTTTTATAGATAAACTATTAAAACCTAGTAGACCATATTCTCTTGATTAAAATTAAAATTTTTAGACAACTTTAATTTGATTTTAATGAACTACAATGTTTTGCTTTTACCCATTTTAAATATTGAAAGTTTACTTTACTTAAATAAAATTTTATCATGGACGAAAAATTAACTCTTATACACACTCAATATGTTCCTAAATTTCCCAAGTTATCAGGAAAATTATCTGAGACTTATCTTAACTTAATAGAAACATACTTTGAAGGACATATTGAGTCAGACTCATCTAAAGTTAGGACACTACTATGTAGCTTACCAATTGAGATTGTAGACCAAGTTACGTCGATATGTTCTAAAGCACAGTTAAAAGACTTTAATATTGTTTTTGGTAAATTGAAACTATTAATTCCAAGTGAGGACATTAATGTAAATATAAAGAACTTTAACTTAGCGGTACAAGGTGCCGAGGAGTCCTTCCATACTTTTTATTTTAGAATTTCAAAACTTCATAAAAAATGCGATTTTGATAACGATACAAGAATGATTGAGAAATTAATAACTTGTTCTTTAAATGATAATATCAGAAGGTTAAATAAACATAAGCACGAAGGCTTAGATAAGATGATGAAATTAGGAGTGGAGTTAGATGGCAGCAATATTAAACCAGACGTTAGCGATACAAATTATGCATACAATGATAAAAAATTGGATAAAAATAAAAAAAATTACAATTTAAACATGGATAAAATACCATGCAAAAGTACTTTTTAATGAGAATAATTCTAATGATTATGAACATAATAATTTTAAAGAAAATAATTTTAATTATAATGGACGTAACACTCGTAAGGAAAATTTTGATTTTAAGAAGAGGAATTATAATGATTTTAGGCCTAATGATAGTGCTAGCGGAAACTATCAAAACAATATTTTTCGAGACAGTGAGGGTAACTCTAGAAATTTTCGTAATAACCAATCTTCGATTAACATTTCAAACTATTACGGAAGAAACTGTGGCACAACAACAATAATGCAAACAATTATGATAGAAACAATGCCTGGCAATACAATAACAATTCAAATAATTATGGTAGAGGTACTTGGCAAAACAATAATTATAATGGGAGGTCTTACAACAATCAAAGAAATCAGAGTCAATATAATAATCGATATGGTTATCAATATCAATCCTACAATAACAACAATAATGGAGTAAATAATACGTGGAAAAATTATAATCAAAATATTAATCAAAGAAAACCATTACAATATAATGACGTGAATCAAAGTAACATCAATTGTAACATGAACATTGAAGTATGGTTGAAAAAAAAATAACCCTACACAAAATAATAATGGTAGTGATTTTAATATCAACAAAATAACTGAGTTTAAACTTAATGATAATGCGTTCATGACTACTTTAAAAGTAAATAATGCTGTTGTTACTATGTAGGTTGATACGGGATCCAAGTTTACAATTATACCTCATGATATGGCTAAACAAATAGGTATTAAAGATCTTAAAAAGTCCACTCTACAACTCACAGCTTATGATGGAAACTTAATTCAAATTATTGGCGTCACTCAAGTTAAAGTAACCTATAAAGGTATCACCAAACACTTGCAAGCCGTGGTCGTTAAATCTAATAAAAATGCGTTATTGGGACGTATGTGGATTAATGCCTTTAGTAATATTTTGAACAAATTTATAGCAAACATTGATACCAACTATGAAGATGAAATAAAGAAATTAATAAATGATTGCGAATCTAAACTGACTAAAAAACCGATCAACAAAGGGAATGTCAAGATATATCTACGTAATGACGCCAAACCGAAAATTATACCACCTAGACGGTTACCTTATTCAAAGATAGACGCTGTTACTAGAGAACTTATGAGATGGATAGGAGATGGAGTCATTGAGCCGGTAACAGATGTCCGCTGGGCAAGTCCGATAACCGCTGTCTACAAGGATAATGGGAGCGTTAGGGTTTGCGCCGACTTCAAAGACACTGTCAACACAGCCCTTGAGGACTTCAGATACCCACTTCCAAGAATAAACGATCTTATCGCTAAACTCAAGGAAGGGAAGAAGTTCACCTAGATAGATTTCAAGGATGCGTTCCTACAAATTCCCATCGACGAAACCTGCAGAGACATATTAACTATATCTACACACAGGGGGTACTACCGGTTTATCAGACTTCCTTTTGGGTTAAAGACTTCATCTGCGATTTTTCAACAAATTATGGATCAAATTTTCGGTGACATGAAAGATGTCATATTTTATATTGATGATCTACTAATTACGGGAAGTAGTGACGAAGTTCATTTCAACAACATAAAGAAGGTTTTTGAAAGAATACTATCTCATGGTTTAGTGCCTAATTTTGCAAAAAGCTTATTTTTCAAAAAAAGTCTAAGGTTCTTAGGACACGACATCGACGCCAAGGGGATCCACGCTAACCATGACAAGATCGAGGCGATCGTTAAAATGCCGGGACCAAAATCAGCCACGGAATTGTCAACGTTTCTAGGTATGGCCGGGTATTACAGAAAATTTTTGAACAACTTCGCTGAAATAGCTGATCCTTTATACAAGATTGTTAACAAAGAAAAATGGGAGTGGAATTTGGAACACTCCAAAAGTTTTGATGATCTAAAGACATTGATTAGTCTTCCTCCAGCTTTGACGTACTTTAATCCTGAACTACCTATCGGAATTGCGACTGATGCATCTAAAAGAGGTTTAGGAGCTGTTTTGTTCCACACTGAAAAAGATGGCAAAGAAAAACTGATAGCTTTTGCATCAAGAACTTTAGCAAAATCCGAAACAAACTATACCAATATTGAGCGTGAAACTCTGGCCATTATGTTTGCTATCAAGAGTTTTCAAGAATACTTGATAGGGACTAAGTTCACTATTGTAACGGATCACAAGCCGCTAATCCATATTTTCACCAAAGGGCTCAAAGATAATAGCACCATGTCATTAAGGTTACAGAAGTGGAGTATAATTTTGGGGGGTTACGACTTTAACATCAGATATAAAGCTGGTAAATACAATGTTGTTCCTGATTGCCTCTCAAGACTACCACAAGTAATTGATGATGACGTTATTGATGATATCGCGATTATAAATGACTTTGGCGATATACCTCTTAGTTTTGACCGAATACGTGATGAAACGTCCAAAGATTTTGAATTATCCCAAGTTACGAGTGACATAAGAAATAATGTGCCTATTAAAAACAAAACTTATCAAAATATTGAATACGAACTAAGTATCATTAAAGATTGTCTGTACAAAAGCGACAAAATAATAATTCCATCAAGTCTGAGAAAGAACATACTGAAGGCGTTACACGAAGGTCATTTGGGAGCAGGTAAAATTAAATCCTTAGCCAAAGATCGTATGTGGTGGTCTGGTATGGTCAACGACATTGATATGGAAGTCAAAAGTTGCGATGATTGTAATATTTATCATGACATTCCAAAGAAAATACAAAATCCATGGGTAGCAGCAACTAAACCATTTGAAAGGATACACAGATTATGCGGGTCCGTTTTTTACAAAGAATTGGTTGATAATCTTTGATGCTTACAGTAAATTTCCGGTTATAGTTCCGGTAAAGAGTATTACGACTGAATTCACGTTAAAGGAAATTTATAAAACTATATACCTGAAACTATTGTTACAGATAATGGTACC